CCCCCCCCGCCGAGTTTTTCGCCATCACCAAACTCCCCACCCACTCCCTTGCCTTCCAAAACAGGGAAAAAACGACTAGACTGAGCTAGGAGTGAAAAGAAAAGAGTGTTAACAGTCTACAATGTTGGGAAACAAAAAGGTTTCCAATGCACGTCCTAATAAGGTCATGAAAACGTCGTTTTTGGCATTGCAAGATTACGCATGTTATGTTATCTTCAAATATATCAACCATCAACTATGTTTTTGGGTGGATTTTTTCAGGTTCGAATCAAAGCACAGAAGGTCATGGGATTGTGTATTGAGGTGTTCGATTACTATGCACGGTCCATCATTCCTTCTGTTTTGGATAAGCTGCGAGATGATTCTGAAGTGCCCCATGAAGCCTTCAAGGTTAGTCAGAACATTCCTGAATCGCCAATCTACCCTTCACTTCTCATTCGTAGAACTTTTTGTGAAAATTTGAATGAAAAACAGTAGTACTTCCATTGTCTACAAATCTCGCCACTGTAAAACGAAGTTAAAATTGTATGCATTCCGTTTAACTGAGGAGATTCACAGTTGAATGGCAGATTGTTGATACTAACCTAGACAAAATGCACACTGGTTCAATAGTACTTCCATTTTCTATAGTTCTCTTTACTGTAGACGAAATTCAATATTGCTTGCCTTCCTTCGTTGGTTTTTAACTGAGGAGATTTACATCTCAAATGGTGTAAGACAGCATCCGATAAGGTGCAACTGAATGGGCAAATAGTTGATACTAGCCTAGATATAATGTGCATTGGTTGGCTAATACCTTGTAGTGACCTAGTGAGTGTCTGCCAGTCTCCACCAGCTTTTTGCTTTCTGCTATACAGCCAGCTAGACAAGCCACACCCATGATCATTTTTTAAGAGACACACTGAAAAACGAATCATTTCGTTAGCCAATATGTTCCTCATATTTTATTGTCATTTCTCAATCTTGTCATAGGGAGCGCTGCATATTTTACTCAATAGCCGTATGTTTTTCTTGGTCAGTCATTACTGGGAGATTATCGTGGATGTATGGCCAGCCATTATACAGGTACAGTCGCATTTATTTGTTGGTCTTAGTTCATAGTAGATACAGGGCCGTTACAGAGGGGTTTCACAGCAGTCATGTGTTGCCGGGTAAAACTATAGAACCTATAGGAAGATAAATCTCTTGTCATACACATTTTCTGGGTGTGGTAGACAGAGTGCATTGTGATCTAGCCCAGTACGAACAACTTCATATAAAACATAATAAACAAGAGAAGTTCGTACCCAAGCTAGACCCGATGCACCATGTTCGCTATCGCAAAAAAAGATCTGTACAAGAACTTTTCATTGTCCCAGCCCTACCTAGAACATGGCTGGCTGAAAGCCCCTGTTTATATATATTATGCTACATTGGAGTGTAAGTGGCAGTTTTGTATTTACCAATCTAACTTGTTTCATTTGCAGGCTGATCATTCAGAGAAACCCTCCATCACTACACTAATAAGTTCTCTTGGAGATAAGATGATCAAGAAGTATGACACAGTAGCCATCGTTAGACAGGTATGTATACACAATAAACTATTGATTACCAGATACTGTACAGGTATGTGGACTGTTATGTGGCGTTGATTATGTTACAGCTATAGACCCCTTGCAGCACTTTGGAATGCAGCTCAATCTGGGGGACAAAACAATAGGTTCCAATTCTCAGGAGATTTAAAGTCTTTTGTTTTATACCCCAGATCGAGCACACGGGGGTTGGCAGAACACGAGAGAAATGTTAGGAGAAGAACGACACGTAGTGGAGTGCTTCTCGACACTTCTCGAGTTTTCTGCCAAACCCCAAGTGCTTTATAACTCCAGACAGCACAGCAAGCAAGTTTTTTATTTCTTTTATAAAATACAAATAACAGGAATGACGAAACTGGAAGTGCGCGCGTATGCTGTGTGCTCTCGTAACGCACGGGCTCCCAACCAATCAGAACGCGAGATTTAAAACTGTTATTTTATAATGTATTATATGCATATATGTAAATAAGGTCAGCACAGAAAAGAAAATGGCGGGAAAACGTGAAAAAGTTTGATAAAATTTCATATTGTTGTGACCTTTTTTAATGAATTCACATCGTCAGTAGTGCATTTCGTGCATGGTATGCAAGATGCAGCATGCAACAAACCTTGGTAACCAAGTAATGGGCCTATAAAAGAATTACTTACTAATGATGTTTCAATGTATAACCAGATACCGGACACTGCTGTAAACATTGCTTGGGGCATTCTACGTACTTCTGCCCCAGCCCCTGCTACCTTACTTGATTCCACTCCCTCCAGTTCCGTTGAGCCGACTGACACTGAACTGCAAGAGGCAGCGGCAATGCAAGCAGAATTTGTAGAGAATAACAACAGGTGAAAATTAATTTTTTCTTACTTGCCACGAGGGTTTTTTTGGTTCCCTCTGTAAAAACGAGCATGCGAGTTTAGTGTTGTGTGTTGTGTGTTGTAGAGCAGTTTTCATTTAACGGTGAAAAGGTTGCGCAATGTGATTGGTCTGGCGTACTTTGGCAACGCCGTGACCTTGTCGTGACCATCTCCGCTCCGTGTTCATGCCAGGTTTCGGCCCTTGCAAGGAGTGGTGGTTGTAAAATATAATACAATGAAGGGATGCTAACGCAGTTATAATAATTGCTTGTTGCGACTGTCAATACTACCATATATCTTATTCTTCAGAAACTACGTAAAGCTGGTTGAACGACTCACAACTCTTCTAGAAGACGAGAACTTGTAAGTGAGCTATGATATTTACTTCTGCATCAAGACCAGCCTGTTTCTTGCATTTGGCGGTTGATGTCCCATTGAACAATATAATACTAACTGCACTCGGACAAGGAGGAGTTGCGTCTTGCGCCCTGGCTAAACGACGACATTTGTTTACCGCGCGTATGATTCCTCAATATTTGTCAGTTTAGTTACGTGCGAGTTGCTACGCGTACAGCAGAAACGTTTCGTGTCTTCGCGCTTCTTGGATACAATGCTGCACTTGTTTCCTAATGTTTCCTAGTTTAGTTACGTGCGAGTTGCTACGCGTACAGCAGAAACGTTTCGTGTTTCCGCGCCCCATGGAAACAGCGTTACACTTGTTTCCCAATGTTTCCTGACAGTTTAGCCACCTTGGGAAACAATAAACAAAACATGTTTCTGGAAAGATGTTTCCTTGTTTAGCCTGCTTAATCAGGCAAGATGAGAAAAACGCAGAAAGAAACCTTATGTTGGTCAGTAGAGCATTACAATTCCTCAACCTCTTATCTTTTTTCTTTCAGACGTTGGCGTTACTTACAACTTTGCTTTAACTTTCTTCGTACTTTGATTCGTTACGACCAACCGTTTCCTGTTCGGGCTATTACAATCGCAGTGTCGTACCTAAATCACGATTCTTTAGGAATAAGAAAGGTAGGTCTAAGAACAATTGCAAGCCATGATTTCGAACATTCCATAAAGAAACCATGTGTCAACGACTTCTTACATTAGAACGATCCATATGAAAACACTACACAATTGATAAAACTGAAATCAGAAAAGCATGTTTTAGTAGAACCCTCCTCAATATTTTGAAGTTTTAACCTACTCCAGTAGAGAGACATCTAAAATGTTGTTCTAAGAATAGCGAGGAATATTTGATTTATTGTAATGATGAACGGGTAAATTTTACAGTGAAAAGATGAAAAAATTTACTGACGTTTCGGACGCTAGTCCTTGGTCGAAGTAAATTGTAAATTGTAAATAGGCCATTTCACGGATCCCGTTACTCAACCTCAGCCTCGTCAGCGTGTAATTATTCTTTAGAATTTGACTACAGTCCGCAGTAATGAAAGGAATTTACACATCAACGAACAATTGAAACACTTAAAAATTTCTAGGCAATTTCTAAAGAATTGGATTGGTCTGGTCGACGAAGAACGTCAGCAACGCTCTCTATGGCTCTGATTTATATTTTACTTCACTATGTTATTCTACATCTACAATGGGCCCAAGTTCCTAGAAATGTTCTATTTGACGATCATCTTCCAGTTAGCCCGGAACATATCAACCTTACCGCTGGATATAACGTGTTTTTTCCACGAATTCCTGCTATCTTCACTCAGAGTCGTTCAGCCATCTTGACAACACTCTCAATACAATCCAATACGAAATTACTTCGGAARTCCTTTTTAARTCTTCTTCTTCTCTCGGGAGACGTCCATTTAAATCCTGGACCAACGGACAAGAACCCGTGTGGAATATGCTGCAAGCCCGTCAAATTAAATCAAAGAGGAGTCCAGTGTGATTCTTGTAATTTCTGGAACCATGCCGGCTGTATGCAAATGACTTCCCTCGAGTATAATTCTCTAGCTAACTCATCTTGTTTGTGGATCTGTCCTGTTTGTGACGAACACARTTATTCTGCTTCTTTGCCTGGAAATTCTGTTTTTGCAGATGAAACCTCTTCAAATTATTTTGAACCGCTTTCTTCTTTCGGAGAAACATTTCCAGCTCGCAGTACTTCTACTCCGATAAACAAGCCAGTGTTGAATAATAATAAGCCAACTAAGAAATCAACTGTGAAGTCCAAGGCTAGTCCAAAGCTCCATTGCTTACTCCTAAATTGTCGAAGTGTTCGTAACAAGCGACCAGCTTTAGAACATGTCATCGCTGACCACAAACCAGATATTATTTTGGGGACAGAATCGTGGCTTACAGCTGTAGTCAAGAAATATCCAACGGTGAAATATTTCCATCCAATTATAATATATTCAGAAAAGATCGACCATCAGATATACGTGGAGGGGGTGTTTTTCAGGCAATTAAGACCGACCTATTGGCATCCCATAAGCAAGACCTTGATTCTGATTGTGAGTGCATTTGGACGCAGTGTCAATTTGCTGGTCGTCAATCTCTACTATTTGGAACTTATTATAATCCCGATGGAGGCATCTCTAGTCTGGAGAAACTTGAAGAGTCCTTGTCAAAGATTGGCCGCAAAATTGACAGCCACGATGTAATCCTAGCAGGTGATTTTAATATACCRAACATTAACTGGTCTGGTCAAAACTYAGGACTTGATCCTCCAGCAAACAAGCTCGTTGATCTTCAGAATGATTTTGGCTTCCAACAGATGGTTCATGAACCCACTAGACGCCAGGATAACACAGCGAATRTTTTRGATCTGGTATTCACAAACAATACCTCGCTGATAAAAGATCTTAAAGTGGTACCTGGCATAAGCGATCATGAGATGGTTACATTTGATGTGATGTTAAAGTGTAAAAGGAAAAAGATCCCAAAACGTAAAGTCTTCTTACGAAAGAAAGCCAACATCGACAAGATGAAGGATGATATCTTGGAATTTTCACATTACTACAA